GGTGAAGAAACTAAGTAAAAAGAGATGTGATTCTACAGAGGGATACTGAGAATTCTATAAACGGAATATGTGAGCAAAAGAAAACGCTCTAAATAAAATGGAAATTAAAAGGAAACTTATGCTTAACATCAGAAAGAGACTTCTGGGTCACATAACGAGGAAAGACGGTTAGAATTTAACACCGACAACATATTTATTGGCTGGAGCTGAAGGGAATTTTGAATAATCTACCTGATGTGTTTGTGTGAATAGATGGCAGAGGTGGGGGGGGGGAAGAAGGGTTGTGAAGAATTAAACGTTTTATAGAAGTGCTACAAGGGACAAGAAGTTTTAGAGAACCATGATCGTGTCATCTTGAAGGCACACGGCATATAAAAAGAACGAATTTCGTTATAGACTGTACTTTGAGGAATCTTTGTTTAGATAACCTTTACGTTTTTCGTTCCATCTTTAACGCCAACGCATCGGCTATAAACGCCTCCCGTGTTAGCTTTGCATTATGTCAGCATTAAAACGATTTGCTTCTAGAAGCTGTGAAGTTTATTACACATTGCGCATTGTGATGAAGAAACGTTATATCATCTGAACGACAAACACTTCATATTTAAGGTTTTCTTTGTGTGTTTAATAGAATAAAATAAACGACGAATGAAGAGAATAAGGAAATGGGGAAAAAAGGTTGGATGAAAGTGAAAGAGAAGATGGATGAAAAGAAGAGTTAGCTGATCGAATAGAAGCGGAGAAGTGGCGGGTAATAGTTGTAGGAAGAGATCTTCTGATAAAAGAGAGAAGCATGGCGTAAGCAAAAGAAAAGAGGAGAAAGAAGAATGAAGTCGAAGAAGAAGAAGAAGAAGAAGAAGTCGAAGAAGAAGAAGAAGAAGTCGAAGAAGAAGAAGAAGAAGAAGAAGTAGAAGAAGAAGAAGAAGAAGAAGAAGAAGAAGAAGAAGAAGAAGAAGAAGAAGAAGTCGAAGAAGAAGAAGAAGGAAGAAGAAGAAGAAGAAGTCGAAGAAGTCTTCTGAAGAAGAAGAAAAGAAGAAGTCGAAGAAGAAGTCGAAGAAGAAGTCGAAGAAGAAGCCAAGAAGAAGAAGAAGCCAAAGACGAAGAAGAAGAAGTCGAAGAAGAAGAAGAGGCCAAAGACGAAGAAGAAGAGGTCGAAGAAGAAGAAGAGGCCAAAGACGAAGAAGAAGAGGTCGAAGACGAAGAAGAAGAGGTCGAAGACGAAGAAGAAGAGGCCGAAGACGAAGAAGAAGAGGCCAAAGACGAAGAAGAAGAGGCCAAAGACGAAGAAGAAGAGGCCAAAGACGAAGAAGAAGAGGCCAAAGACGAAGAAGAGGTCGAAGAAGAAGAAGAGGTCGAAGAAGAAGAAGAGGTCAAAGACAAACTCGATGAAGAAGCAGCATGACAACGATTTTGGAAAGACAAAAAAAAGAAAGAAAAGTATTGTCTATAATTTAGATTTATCATTCAAACATTTAGACGGGTTATTGAAATCGTCTGTTGTTAGACATGATTTCTCTCAAATTATGGTAGTGAGAGAGAGAGAGAGAAAACAGAAAAAAAGAACAATAAAAAGATGACCATGAATGAGGGTGAAAACGAAAAGAGAGAGAACAGGGATATAAAGCGATGGTTTTTTTGTTGGTTGGTCATGTTTTTTTTTTTTTTTTTTAGTGGGACTTTCCGGTAATATTTATTTTGACAGTTGGTGGCCAGATTGGTGATCTTTGAGATTTAATGCAGTTTGCTTTAGATCTTGGTTTTAGGTTTTGTATAGGTGGTATTTGAGCCATATCATGTACGTTCAAAATCAGTTCTTCATACTTATTTAATACCAGCTTAAAAGCCGCCATATCGGGAGGCAATTATGTTAGCTCCTGTGGTGAGCTCTTGTTGGGGCTTCGACTCAGGAGATTGCTTGTCCCTAAGTTTTTGCATATCCTCAGTACTGGAAGCTCTCCCGGCTGCCGGTTGATCAGGTTTTTCATTTCCTCGGGACTTTCTCGGCTCTTTATTGCAATCTGGTTCTCTATTTCTGCGAGGCATACGGATGTGATAGGCAGCAGCAGCAGCAGAAGAGGACAGGAGTCAAAATTGATTGCTGCATTTAAGTATTGCATAAATGTTGTTTTTTATGTTTAAATTGATCACTGTATTTAAGCTTACGTTTTAAAAGTTCAACGATAATTCTTCTGCCACCACTTAATTTAAAGAAAGTTTGATGTACGCAGTTCCTTACTTTCCGTACAAACAATTATATTTTTTTTTATTTCATGGCTGGATTTCGCAATTAATTTCAATTATTCCCAGTTTCTTTTCCCAAGCTATAAAAATTGTTATCGTAAAAAAAGAGAGTAGGGAGAAAAAAGAGAGTAGGGAGAAAAAAGAGAGTAGGAAGAAAAAAGAAAGAAGGAAAAAAAAAGAAAAAGAAAGAAAAAAAAAAGAAAGAAGAAAAAAAAGAAAGAAAAAAGAAAAAAAAAGAAGAAGGAAAAAAAAAGAAGAAAAAGAAAAAAAAGAAAAGAAAAAAGAAAGAAGAAAAAAAAAAAAAAGAAAAAAAAAAGAAAAAAAGAAAAAAAAGAAAAAAGAAAGAAGAAAGAAAAAGAAAAGAAAAAAAAAAAAAGAAAAAAGAAAAAAAAAAGAAAGAAAAAAAAAAGAAGAAGAAAAGAAAAAAAAAAGAAGAAAAAAAAAAAAGAAGAAGAAAAAAAAAAAAGAAGAAAAAAAAAAAAAAGAAAGAAGAAAGAAAAAAAGAAAAAAAAAAAAGAAAAAAAAGAAAAAAGAAAAGAAAAAAGAAAGAAAGAAAAAAAAAAAAGAAAGAAGAAAGAAAAGAAAAAAGAAAGAAGAAAGAAAAGAAAAAAGAAGGAAGAAAGAAAAGAAAAAAGAAGGAAGAAAAAGAAAAAAGAAGGAAGAAAAAGAAAACAAAAAACAAGAAACAAAAACAAAACGCCGCAAACAATCTTTCTCTTATATATATATATATATACCGGGTGTAACAGCAAAATTGTCTAAATGGTGTTACAAAATAATTGTCCATCCCACAAATGCTTAACACTTAAAATTCCACAACACTAATAGAGTTTCTTTTTTCCAGGTTTTTAGATGAAAATTTAGCCATTTTGATACCATTTAAGAAACGCTGAAAAGCCATTTGAGTTCGAGCTAGACAGAGAACAAGTTCAAATCATTTTGTGTCAGCCTCACCAAGTCTTCCCAATTGAGCAATGTTGAGAGGAAAAAGATCATTCATGCCTTCAGTAATAGTACCAACATTCATACTCTGACTTCCATCTCGAAAGTCCATTCAAGAACCATCAAGAGAACAGTGAATAAATTTTAAAAAAGGGAACGATAGAGAGGAAAACTGGATCAGGAGGTCACAACAGGAACAGAGATCATCATTTCAACTTAGAGCTAAATACATTTTTATTGTGAAAAGTAGAATCCAATAGTGTTATAAAAACATGGGAGAATTTCAGTAAGATATCTTTAATCATCTTTATGATAAAACGGTTCAAAGCTTACTCTAGCAATTGGACAATTTTGCTGTTACATTCCATATAATTTAAATATGGAAAAAGTAAACCTTAAGGGACCATTGGTTATAATTTATTTCCCCAGGTGCGCGATTTTTACCTGACTCATCAGGTTGTTTTGTTTTAGATTTAAATTAATAATTGCGCTTATTTGACATTGAGCTCTTTGGATTATATCTTCCTTGAGATTATCCATACGTATTACCAAACCTTTCATATTATATATATATATATATATATATATATATATATATAGCCACTTTCTAGTAAATGCATATGGAAATGGCTTGGTATGGTAAGGATTCTGTCGACGGGAGAGTCGATTATTATAGAGGAAAATATTTTCAAAGATGGTTATGTTGATTGTACTCACAATGCTAAATGATCAATCACCCACCATATGGTATGGAGGTTTATGCCACATTTTCCATATACCTGGTGCCCTCAACACCTCTCCTTGTGGTACCCACAATTCTGACACGTTAAACACCTTAAGGGATTGGGGACGTATTGTTAAATCCTCTCGATCGTAAATCCAAGTTTTGTTTCTTTTGGGATTGTGAGTTTATTAAATGTTTTTTTTTTTTTAAGAATTTGTTGATCGCACCTTTTTATGCCTATCCTATATTTGGCGGTCCCTTGATTTCCTAAGGCTGTATTTATTTCCTCTGCTTCAGCCAGGGACAATACTATCTCTCATAACTCCCTTTGAGGTGTTAAATCTTTCATGTGAGAAAGCTTTACATTTTAAATTGTGGAAAGCTTTAATTTTTAACTATGTTATCTGCGTCTTTTTTATTGTTTAGGTTTACAAGTAGATTGACACTTTTTTTTTTTTTTTTTAAAACTGTTTGATGATTTTCGCTGCTAGTAATAATTTTTCTATTCTGAATGGACATAAATTGGTTTCCTCTAGACATTCAATTCTGACGAATCTGAGGAATTCGTTTTCTGATACTATTTCTGAATCAGAGTTCGAGAGATTCCGTTTATATTTTTGTTTTAGTTCACCATTTTTTTTGTTTTTTGTTCATTGATACTACTGTGGAATTCAATTTCTATTATTACAAAAAGTCTTAAACCCATTCGCCTTTGTTGACTTTTAGCTCTTGATAATGGTTCAGTAACAAAAAATAAATGCCTTAACATAAAACAGTGGTCAAAAAAAAAAAAAAAAAAAAAAAAAAAAAAAAAAAAAAAAAGAAAAAAAAAAAAATCAATTCAATTTTTTAAAAAGTTTCTCAAACTTTTGTATATTATTTAAAGCCAGAAAATATTTATGGATTGTCAAAATCTTTTTTTAAGAGTATGATTTTCTGATACAAATCCTACTATTTAACCCATACATGGGGAGGAGACGTGTAGGATTCCTATATTTCCCAAAGGCATTTGTGTGCAGTGAATACAACGAACCCTACTGGAATTGGAATTCGGCTCCCCGTCGTTATTCATTACCACACCCGCATATCCAAGCTTACAGTATCTGGTATTCCCAAGTGGTCACCCATCCTAAGCAAACTCGACGTTTCTTAACTTCGGTGATCGGACGGGAACCTGTATTCCGGCGTGATATGGTCATACTTTGAAACCGTGTATTGGATCTTTTGATATTTTATTCAATTCACCCCAAGCAAGGCGATAATGACACCAAGACGCAAGGGACTACTGATAAAACAGAGAATGAAAAGACATTAGAAAAGAACCGGAAATGAGAAATAAATCTACTCTAGTTCAAGAAGAGAAGTGTGGACCGGGCGATAGGCGAACCTATCTTCTCTATAAATCGAATCGTATACAGTGTAAATTTAAGAACAAAATTCAGGCTACAATCTATAAAAAAAAATGTTACATAAAATAGCACAAATCTACCGATTTACGAATCAGAAAATCTCTGGGAGCTCGAGAGATTTGTAAGAAAATAATATCCATGAATTAAATATGAACGCCGATATTTAGTCAGTTCTTGAGAAGTGCGTTGGCTTGAGAATCTTTCAACACCAAACATTTATTTAGCATTCAAATATGTTAAAAACGGCACTGAACATAGCAAATAAAAAAAACAAATGACAAATATACAAGACAATTTCTCTTTTTAAAAGTCTTGTTTGCCTGCCGGGTGTTCAATTAATGAGAATTATTTCATTTTATCGTTTATATACAACTTGAAATTGGCGTGTGGTCAAGTCATGAAAGCTGAGATAAAACAGCCCACAACCTTCCATTTAACTAACTTTTGTGAACTGAAGAAAAAAAAATTATTGGTAAAAACAACCAAAGTTGATTCAATTTATTGTCTTCTCATTTTCTCTCTTTTCTGTCACGAGTTTCTTGTATTACTTTTCCAACCGGTTTTTTTCTACAGACACGAGTTTCTAATTTGTCGTCTATTCTTCGATTAGTCATACCACCGCAAAAAATACACCTACTATACGAAAGCAATATGACTTCAAATGACAATAAGGACTTTCTGCTCTGAAATAATGACTTCATTTCGAGACGGGATTAATGCAGAAATTTAGAAATAAATGAGTAGAAGGACTGTTGAAAACCGGCATATGAGGTTCACATAACCATTCTTAGCATTATCTTTTGGTTAAAGCTAGAGAAGTTTTAATTTTTTTTCAAGTTGGCTCACTGAAATCTAAATGCACCCTTCAAACGAGCCAGTTGCTCAATGCAAAATTGTACGCTAAAAGGTAATGACTAAGATTCGTAATGATTTTCCTTAAATCTCATTAAAAACAGATGTTAATTATTTCACTGGCAATTCCGTGTTTTGTTAAGATGCAGGCTTAAAACCATAACTATTATTATAACAGATCCGTTTTTAATCTACGAAAATATTTTGTGAAGAACGATTAGAAAAAAAAAGAAGAAAAACAAGTATTTAAACTAAGCGATTTTGGCTTGCGTAATCACGTAGGATCCTACTTGCCTAGTTTCTAAATTGTTCTTGAGGCTTGTAAATGACATACTAGCATTGATTTATGCCACTGGTAATAAATATATCTAAAATTTCTCTAGTGTCGTGCGAAAGGTTTTTTGACTTAGATTGTACAAGTAGTCAACCAAATATTCTCGGCAGAACCCAATCCTCAAAATTTGACCAAATGACAAAGCATCACAATTTGTTTTGGAACTACATCTTGGTCATGCTGAGAACTTTTTAGTACCCTCTCTCTTAGTGAAATTCCTTTCCATTAATGGACTAGAGTAGATGGAAATAAAAATTTTAACAAAATTTACCGAAATTTTCTTCTTGAAATTATTTTCGGAGATACGTAATATTGAATTTTTCTTAGATTACATTATAAATAAATAATCCCGGATATAACAGCAAAATTGTCCAATTGTTTTGAACCGTTGTATCTTAGAAATGATTAAAGATATCTTACTGGATTTCTCCGAGGTTGTTATAACACTATTGGATAAGAATATATTTAGCTCTTAGCTGAAATGATCCCTCTTCCTATTGTGACCTCCTGATCCAGTTTTCCTCTCCACTGCTCCGTTTTTTTTTTAAACTTATTCACCGTTTTCTTGATGACTATGGAATATGCTTTGAAGATGGAAGCCAGAGTATGAATGTTAGTACCATTACTGAAGGCCTGGATGGTCTCTCACCATTGCTAAATTGAGAAGAGAGTAGAGTTGACACAAAACGATTTTAACCTGTTCTCTTTCTAGCTGAATAACTAAAGTTTTTTTTCGGTGATTTTTACGACAACTGGTGTCAAGATGGCTAAACGTCTCATCTGAAAACCTGGAACAAAAGTTTTTTTGTTTTTTTTAAATATTAAACATTTTGTGAGATGAACAGTTATACCATGCTGTTACACGATTTGAACCTTTTTTCTGTTACATCCAGTATATATATATATATATATATATATATATATATATATATATATATATATATGGTGGAGTAGTGGATAGCGGCTCGGATTGAGGAATACGATAGTAGAGTTTGAATTTCAGTCAAACCCATAACATTCACTTACGTGCTAATACTCTTGAGAAAAGTATAATCCTCTTCTCCCTACAGCTATTGGTAAATAACAGGGTAGACTGAGTTCTATAGCCTTGGATGGCAACTAGTCTAGCAGGAGGACAACTCGTTTGTATTCGACCTCTCAAAAAGTGTGATTGGTTATGCACAAATAATCAAATCGTATGTGCTGGTGTCTGGGCTGTCGGTTCCTAGGAACTGAACTGCTTGACCCTCATACGTCGAATACGACGGGAGAGTCCACCACCACTACCACCATATGCGTGTGTATTTAGTGTTTGAATCGACATCCCTTAAAAAGAAATTTAGAAAAAAAAAGACAGTACAGGTTTGATTCCTTTCGGGAAGAACATATTCTTTATTACGTTCCTCGATCTGGTGGACGATCGACGTTAACGTCTATATTTTTGAAGCATTTAACTATTTACATCGTTCGGACTGTTGTCTTCATCTTTGACATATTCAACAATATTGCCATGTGTCCCCGTAGATAAAATGACTTGACCCAAAGAGTTGTGAGTTCAATACCTGTCGACAGCAGATCATAACAAAAACTTGGAGAGTTGAGTTACTAAAAGGAATATATATATATATATAAAATATGATTCCAAATCGCTACATAAGAGGTCTCATGTTTCAAAACAAGAGCCGAAAACTTAAATATAATCCTTTAAATTAAATTGAGTTGAAAATAAAATGGGCTCCGTTCCATCTTCAAGCGAAATTTTGTTGAATAACGTATATCTGAAATTTACTTGTTTTAAAATTGAAATCAAAATCCCCATGGTAACAGCTATGGTGAATTGTCTAAATTGGGTAGGCGAGTGTAGGGTGTTTATAATAAGTAGCGGTATAGAGATACTTTCAAGGTGTCAAGTCAGGGGAAAGGTGGGGTGTCAAAAATGAAACGGAAGATGTATTGGCCATCGTCTAGTTTGCTTGTCTATGGAGATTTATTTATTTATTTTATTTTATTATGAAAGGAATTGTGCATATAAAAAACGAAAACTTTCGTAACGTTTGTTTTTTGACGACTTCATAAAGGGTTATCTTATATGTAAGGTATTTTAAACTACTAATTTAGGCTATGGATTATGAAGTGTGTTATGTTGTATGCATGTTTGTAGTTAATTATTCCTACTATGAATCTGATGATTGGGTTATTTGTTAAACAAGTTATATAATTTTTTTTATCTAATAATTCAAACCAAAAATCTGATGATGCCTACAAAAAACCGTTAACTCGTGTCTATTATTTAATCGATTATTATTATTTAGAAGTTTAATAATGTGCAATTTTTCATGGAGGCACAAAGGGCATGGGTCATCCCAAGCTTTACATATTCTAGCCTTGTCAATAATTTTCCATTTAACTTTTGGTGTCTTATTTGTTTCCTTCAGGTGCCAAAAATATTTTGATAGTGAAGTCTGATTTCGCTATCAAAATATTTTTGGCACCTGAAGGAAACAAATAAGAAATAAATCTCCATAGACAAGCAAACTAGAGGATGGCCAATACATCTTCCGTTTCATTTTTGACACCCCCCCACCTTTCCCCGACTTGACACCTTGAAAGTGTCTCTATACCGCTACTTATTATAAATACCCTACACTCGCCTACCCAATTTAGACAATTCACCATAGCTGTTACCATGGGGATTTTGATTTCAATTTTAAAACAAGTAAATTTCAGATATACGTTATTCCAACAAAAATTCGCTTGAAGATGGAACGGAGCCATTTTACTTTCAACTCAATTTAATTTAAAGGATTATATTGAAGTTTTCGGCTCTTGTTTTGAAACATGAGACCTCTTATGTAGCGATTTGGAATCATATTTTTAAATAAATAATTATATTTATGCTCTACTTTTGTATCGAGCACTATTTTTTAAAATAATAACTAAAATACTAAGGGACTTTGGATTATTTACCTAACCAGTTCCTTCCTATTTTCTATATATTTTCCACACACACACATATATATATATATATATATATATATATATATATATATAAAAACAGGCTCAATGTTTATCGTAATAAGAAAAATATCTATTATTTATCAAATATGGCCAAAGTTAGTGAAACAGAATGATGCATATACGCTTGAATAAATGTATATACAAATATTGATTTTGAAATTCAATAAAGCAAGAACAACTGGAATTGAAAAGAAAAACCACAAGCCAAAAGACAAAACAAAAAAAAATCCAAAAACGCTACTAACTTTTGTTTCGACCAAATATAAAAAAAAAAAGATTTTTTAATCATTGTTTTTAAATATTTCTCTTAATGACGTAAAATTTTTGCATTCGATAAATATTTGAATTTGTTCAGCTATAATTGTTAATTTATGCAGTATATAAAAGTTAAATTTTCTCCACTTTGAATTTCGTTATTAATTTAAATTCTTGGATTAGATTTATAATATTTCATTCTTTACCCAACTTTTTCAGTGACTTCTCTGTAGCGAAGTACTACCGATTCGAAAGCAAATCTAATAAAAGAGTCCAATTATTTATGGCATGTATTGTTAAATATTTGTTGATAATTTCAGTTACACTTATT